CGGACCCCCTATCATAACACTGCAACTCAAATTAAATAGGCTATCTCGGACCTCCTATTATAACACTGTCACTCGAACTAAATGGGCTATCCTAGACCCCGTATTATAACACTATCACTCTAACTAAACGGACTATCCCGGACCTCCTATTATAACACTGTCACTCGAACTAAATGGGCTATCCTAGACCCCGTATTATAACACTATCACTCTAACTAAATGGGCTATCCCGGACCTCCTATTATAACACTGCCACTCAAATTAAATAGGCTATCTCGGACCTCCTATTATAACACTGCCACTCAAATTAAATAGGCTATCCCGGACCTCCTATTATAACACTGTCACTCTTAACAAATGGGTTATCCTAGACCCCGTATAATAACACTGTCACTCTAAATAAATGGGCTATCCCGAGCCCCTATTATAACACTAACACTCTAACTAAATGGGCTATCCCGGGCCCCGTATAATAACACTGTCACTCTTTCTCTAACTAAATGGGCTATCCCGAACCCCTATTATTACACTGTCCTTCTAAATAAATGGGCTATCCTAGACCCCGTATAATAACACTGTCACTCTAAATAAATGGGCTATCCCGAGCCCCTATTATAACACTAACACTCTAACTAAATGGGCTATTCCGGACCTCCTCTATTATAACACTATCACTCTAACTAAACGGGCTATCCCGGACCTCCTATTATAACACAGTCACTCCAACTAAATATGCTATCCCGCACCCCCTATTATAACACCGTCACTCTTACTAAATGGGCTAGCCCACCCCCACTGTCACTCTCAATGAATGGGCTATCCCGGACCCCGTATTATAACACTATCACTCTAAATAAATGGGCTATCCAGGACCCCCTATTTTAACACGGTCACTCTAACTAAACGGGCTATCCCGGACCTCCTATTATAACACTGTCACTCTAACTAACTGGGCTATCCCGGACCTCCTATTATAACACTGCCACTCAAATTAAATAGGCTATCTCGGACCTCCTATTATAACACTGTCACTCCAACTAAATATGCTATCCCACACCCCCTATTATAACACCGTCGCTCTAACTAAATGGGCTATCCCGGACCCCGTATTATCACACTGTCACTCTAAATAAATTGGCTATCCCGGACCCCCTTTTATTACACTGTCATTCTAACTAAATGGGCTATCCCGGACCCCGTATTATAACACTATCACTCTAAATAAATGGGCTATCCAGGACCCCCTATTTTAACACTGACACTCTAACTAAACGGGCTATCCCGAACCCCTATTATTACATTGGCACTCTTAATAAATTGGCTATCCCGGACCCCCTATTATAACACTTTCACTCTAACTAAACGGGCTATCCCGAAGCCCTATTATTACATTGTCACTCTTAATAAATGGGCTATCTTGGACCCCCTATTATTACACTGTCACTCTAACTAAATGGGCTATTCCGGACCTCCTATTATAACACTGCCACTCAAATTAAATAGGCTATCCCGGACCTCCTATTATAACACTGCCACTCAAATTAAATAGGCTATCCCGGACCTCCTATTATAACACTGCCACTCAAATTAAATAGGCTATCTCGGACCTCCAATTATAACACTGTCACTCTTAATTCGAACCACGAACTCCCTATTATAACACTGTCACTCTAACTAAATATGCTATACCGCACCCCCTATTATAACACCGTCACTCTTACTAAATATGCTATCCCGCACCCCCTATTATAACACCGTCACTCTTACTAAATGGGCTAGCCCACACACCCTATTATAACACTGTCACTCTAACTAAATATGCTATCCCGCACCCCCTATTATAACACCGTCACTATGGGCTATCCCGAACCCCTATTATTACACTGTCCTTCTAAATAAATGGGCTATCCTAGACCCCGTATAATAACACTGTCACTCTAAATAAATGGGCTATCCCGGGCCCCTATCATAACACTAACACTCTAACTAAATGGGCTATCCCGGGCCACGTATAATAACACTGTCACTCTTTCTCTACCTAAATGGGCTATCCCGAACCCCTATTATTACATTGTCACTCTTAATAAATGGGCTATCTTGGACCCCCTATTATTACACTGTCACTCTTAATAAATGGGTTATCCCGGACCCCCTATTATTACACTGTCACTCTGACTAAATTGGCTATCCCGAACCCCCTATTATTACACTGTCTCTCTAAATAAATGGGGCTATCCCGGACCCCCTAATATTATACTGTCACTCTAACTAAATTGGCTTTCCCGGACCCTGTATAATAACACTGTCACTCTAACTAAATGAGCTATCTCGGACCCCCTATTATAACACTGTCACTCGAACTAAATGGGCTATCCCGTACCCCCTATTAGTACACTGTCGCTCTAACTAAATGAGCTACCCAAGACCCCATATTATAACATTGTCACGCTAACTAAATGGGCTATCCCGGACCCCCTATTATTACACTGTCATTCTAACTAAATGGGCTATCCCGGACCCCGTATTATCACACTGTCACTCTAAATAAATTGGCTATCCCTGACCCCCTATTATTACACTGTCACTCTAACTAAATGGGCTATCCCGGACCCTATTATAACACTGTCACTCTAACTAACTGGGCTATCCCGGACCCCTATTATAACACTGTCACTCTAACTAACTGGGCTATCCCTGACCTCCTATTATAACACTGTCACTCTAACTAACTGGGCTATCCCGGACCTCCTATTATAACACTGTCACTCCAACTAAATATGCTATCCCGCACCCCCTATTATAACACCGTCACTCTTACTAAATGGGCTAGCCCACACCCCCTATTATAACGCTGTCACTCTAACTAAATGGACTAGCCCGCACCCCGTATTATAACACCGTCGCTCTAACTAAATGGGCTATCCCGGACCTCCTATTATAACACTGTCACTCTAACTAAATGGGCTATCCCGCACCCCCTATTATAACACCGCCGCTCTAACTAACTTGGCTATCCCGCACCCCCTATTATAACACTGTCACTCTAACTAAATGGACTAGCCCGCACCCCGTATTATTACACCGTCGCTCTAACTAAATGGGCTATCCCGGACCTCCTATTATAATACTGTTCCTCTAACTAAATGGGCTATCCCGCACCCCCTATTATAACACCGTCGCTCTAACTAACTTGGCTAGCCCACCCCCTATTATAGCACTGTCACTCTAACTAAATGGGCTATCCCGCACCTCTTTTTATAACACTGTCACTCTAACTAAGTAGGCTATCCCGGACCTCCTATTATAACACTGTCACTCTAACTAAATGGGCTAGCCCGCGTCCCCTATTATAACACCGTCACTCTAACTAAATGGGCTATCCCGCACCACCTATTATAACACCGTCACTCTAACTAAATGGGCTATCCCGCACCCCCTATTACTGCATACTTCCCACCTCTCACAATGGAAAAGTGTGAGCAATAAATCACTTGCTACCACAGTCCACTGCACACATAATCCCCTTTCAAGGCCAATCATGATTACATGACCATGAAGGGGGTGTGCCCAGTGGACTGTGGCCACAAATGCTGTAAGAAAGGGGAGATAATCAATCAGTGAGTAACGATGAAGTCAATACAGTGGAAAGGATAAACTTAGTTGACACATTTAAAATAAGGGGGAAAAAATGAAAGTTAAAAATGGTAATTTCATGATTGAAAAACACAAAAAGATTTCCTTATCACGTGAGAGGATAAGCATTTCCCGGAAAAGTTTATAATCTTAAGGAGCTGTTCCTTTATACAAAATTGCACATTCAAATATACCATTCATTGAAAGAACTGGAATTCCTTAGGGATTAATAAACCCTTACATTGTATATATGAAAATGGTTTCAATATCCTGTACCTTTGCCACATCTTGAAAATTAAACTGAAAATGTAGTCATAAATTCAACATTGTTTCCCGTATTTTGAACAGACACTCCTTACCTTCCCTGACACTGGACCTGGATAGTAATCCAAAAACACTTGTATCCATTATGAAGGATACACTCAGACTGGGCTATTGACAATCTTACCTGGTTGTGATTAGTACTCACTCACACAGGTACATGTAGATTATCTGCAGTGTAGCTAGGGTAGGTAAAAAGATTGTCCAGGTGAACATTTTTTACTCAACTTTTCTGTTTTGTTCGAGTTGGGAAGCATGCAGTAAGCCAGTTATTGCATGATTTCTCGTCACTCGGGACTTATTATACCCTCGCTTCGCTCGGGTGTAATAAATCCCTTGTTACTCGAAAACCATGCAATAACCTTTACTTATAACACCGTCACTCTAACTAAATGGCTTATCTAGATCTACAGTTCATTTATCGGTAGTACCCTGGCCCATTCACGTTACAGTTATAATCAAAACACTACCAATTAAATCAACAAATTAATTGTACTGTAGGTACGAAAAACAACAGCAGAATTCCCAATTGCTTTGCCTGCACTTGGACAGGAATCCTTAATACAATCTTATCTTGCCATTGATATTTTGAACACAGGGACCTGATAATTTGTTACAGGTACATTTGGACCTAAATTAAGGTGTTCAGAATAATTGTACACGCTTTACAACTTACGGCAAAAATGCCAAGCCCATGATGATGTAAAACCCTAAAGCGTTTCAAATTACTCTGAACACCTTAGTTTACGTGCAAATGTATCTGTAACAAATACTCAGGTCCCTGTGGTTCTGAAATCCGTGACCACGTGGTAGTGAGAATCTCTCTCCACAGAGGTACTTCGTTTGTCATTTTTCAGTTCACAATATATTGTATCTAAATACTAGTAAATAATTCAGTGAAATATCTTCTTTTTTTTTACTTATAATTTACACATTAAAATATAATACATTTTAGAATGAAATTTAATACAAATAAGGCTGTCTATTACTCAGGGTCTGTTCCCTGTATGTGGCCCCATCGACATTTCTTCAAACGCACGGGGAGGCGTGAACAATGTACCCGCTTACAACAGAACAGTAGCACACTGACCAGGCCAGTCTCTCACCCAGAGTCAAGATGGAGGTCGACAGACTTGGAAAACTCGCTGCTATGATAGGCGTGATAGCCATCATTATGGAGATCGCAGGGTTCGCCACCCGGGGGTGGATACGTTTCAACCACGTTATTAATGATTTTGGCCTGGCAAAAGAGATTTTATTGAAATTTGAACTCGGACTTTGGTCAGTTTCCATTTGTATGAATGGCGTGTGTGCCACGACCGACCAGAAGCAGTGGGAGACTGACCCCTCTGTCCAAAGATGTGAGTACACGACAATAAATATAAAAGTATACTACTCAACCTCTACTCGTCTTAAAAATAAGAAAAAATACGCAAAAAAAGCAATTCTCAAAAGAACGTCATTTTCCAATGTATAATTTACGAACTTTCTCATAAATTGTCGCTGCCTAAGTCGATCAATTCTGTTGTTTTTTAACATTGAAATATCATCATAATTGGGTTTGATTAAAACAAATACAGCGTATGCATATCCTGCTATCATGCACGATTTTATTTTATTTTTTTGAAATATGATGATATTGTGTTAAGTGTTATCATTATTAGAGCTTTTCTGTAAGAGTTGAGATTGTTGATAATTTTATCACGTCATTATCTCCCTTTTAGTTGGATTTTAGCTGGTACGTGTTCTTTCTCCCTCAGATTCCGAATTGCTGGATATTGACCGCTACAAGGTGCTAGCCGGACTGGCCATTGGTGGCGGCGCCGTCAGTTTGTTGTTCCTGGTACTTCACATCAGGAGACCCATCCTTGTCAGCATGTGCTATGGTCTGTTGTCACTGGGAGGATTTGCCGTCTCGGGTATGTTACTATGTATCAACTATCAGGTCGGGGAAAACCACCAACTTAAAGATACGTATAATACGCAAATTCGCCCATTATACGCCAATTGGGGTATTAATTTGTTACTAAAAATAGCACTCATATAAATAAAGTCGGTGCAAAAGCCAACTCCACTCTAGGCTTCCTTCGTAGAAATCTTAAAATAGGTTCCACATCTCTCCAGGAAAATGCATACAAAGCCCTCGTCAGACCATCTGTTGAATATGCATGTACTGTATGGGACCCCGAAAATAAGACAGACATCCAACAAATAGAAATGGTGCAACGAAGAGCTGCTCGGTATGTCACAAACCGACACCGGAACTTGTCCAGTGTTGGTGACATGCTGAATACGCTGAGATGGCCCTTACTAGAAAAAAGACGCAAGGATATGCGCCTCAGTACATACACAACCAAATAGCCATATCCATGGACATCTTAAAGCCCCCATCACGTCTCACCAGGCACGCCCATGCTCATTCATTTCAAATACCTTCTTGTAAAAACCCTGGTCAGAAAATTCATTTTTCCCACGAACAATATCTGATTGGAACCGCCTCCCTCCAGAAATCTTTGAACTTAATAAAATAACTGCCTTCAAATCCGCAATAGCTAAATTACCATAAATCCCTATTTATTCATTTATTTATTTTCCCCTCCTTATGCAATGATCTCCTAATAACATAATCTTCAACTTGTTGAAGGCGGTTATTATAATGTAGAAGTATGTAGCCAAAATCACTTCAAGCTTAACTTTTTCAAATTGTTTGTCCATGTCGCATTTTTTTAGTCATGAATCATCATACAAATGCAAAAACAATCTTTATTTGCATATGGGAAAATATCAAAACAAGATGCAATACTTCCGGTAGAGTTGCATCAAGTTTCTAAGTAGCCAATGCTTTCAGTAAACATCTTTTAGCAAATATATGTACCTTGTAAATTAATGCGATTTGTAATGATAAATTGCAAAAGTTACTGTTAAAGCGATTTGGGTTATTTTTAGTAACAAATACATACTCCAACTGGAGTATAATAGGCGAGTTTGCGTCTTGAACTTGAACTTTGTCGCTACAGGTATGTACGTTATAACTTGGTCGCTACAGGTATGAATGGTCTAACTTTGTCGTAACAGATATGTACGGTATAACTTTGTCGCTACAGGTATGTACGGTCTAACTTTGTCGTAACAGGTATGTACGGTACAACTTTGTCGCTACAGGTATGTACGGTATAACTTTGTCGCTACAGGTATGAATGGTCTAACTTTGTCGTAACAGTGAATGTACGGTCTTACTTTGTCGCTACAGGTATGTACGGTATAACTTTGTCGCTACAGGTATGTACGGTCTTACTTTGTCGTAACAAGTATGTACGTACGGTTCGACTTTGTCTTAACAGGTATGTACGGTTCGACTTTGTCGTAACAGGTATGTACGGTGTAACGTTGTCGCTACATGTATGTACGGTCTAACTTTGTCGCTACAGGTATGTGCGGTCTAACTTTGTCGCTACAGGTATGTGCGGTCTTACTTTGTCGCTACAGGTATGTACGGTCTAACTTTGTCGTAACATGTAAGTATGTACGGTTCGACTTTGTCGTAATATGTATGTACGGTCCAACTTTGTCGTAACATGATACAAGTGCATAAATGTGGTGGCACGTGTGTATATCTAGCGATACACATTTGTCATGTATATCTGCAGTATAGCCAATATGAATGCCATCACGAAACGACGTATTCCAAGAAGAGCTCTTTACGCCCGATCTGTAATGTGTTTTTCAGTTTGAAACCCATTTTGACACGAGGTTGATGAAGAATATTTCGATGTTTCAAGACTTTCAACAGCCTTGCATAATACGAATAAATTATGCAGTTATGCACTGACCTATTACAGTAATGTAAGAGTTGTTAAGAACTACAGGTGACTCGGACGCCGAACCCTTTTAAAGCGGTAGTGACAAACTACAGCTCGGCCCTACTAAGATATCCATTATATGTGCAACGTAAAATGGCCATAAGAAGATATTGGTTAAAAAAATTAAATACTAGTAACTGTGTTTTAAAATCATGTTACGACGCATTAGTCGAATTGAACATCAGAAAATCTAATTGTAAAATTAATTGGGTTTTTCAAATTAAGCATGGGCTATGTAGTTTGGGTTTTAATTATATTTGGATTTGCCAATATGTACAAAATGAAAAACATTTTTTGCAAATGTATGCTCAACGCGTTCATGATGTATTTATTCAAGAATTACGCAGTGCTTTTGATGTATCTTCCAAATGTTATTTGTACAGATACCTTTTGCATCCAGTTCTATCTGACTAAGCCCATTAATTTTAGAGTAAAAAAGTTATTGGGTCAATTTCGCATGCAAGGACAGTCTTAACATAGAATCTGGGTGCTAAAATAGCATTCCAAGAGGTCAGAGAATATGTGCAGTCTGTGATAAAAATGATGTCGAAGATAAAGTACATTATAATCGACATCCAAGAGTATATAAACTAATAGAATTATTTACCTGTAAAGGTGTTAAATCTTTAAAAAGACACGGGAAATATTTGTTGCACGCTACTGCTAAAAGGAACATTCTCCTCGCTCAGTAGTGATATTATATTGAAACTACTTTGTTATAACTGTACATGTATAATAATAGTTATTTAATATTCGTTATTTGTCTGTGTGGACTAAATAGCAGTTTCAAAGAAGAACTTATTTCATCAAAAATGTTTTTAAAGAAATGTTCAAACTTGGTATGATCAAAACACAGTGGTGTCTTTGACCAAGACTTTCTGTTTAAATTTCTAAATGAATTGTCGTTTTAGGTACCTTGTTGTGGTATGTGGTCGGGAAGTTTGCGAAGCTGGCGACAAACCTCCATCCGACTTTGTCCAATCCCGACGGGTTAACCGCCATGACTCCCTACTCGGTTGTCGTCGCAGGCATTGGAGCCGCGCTCTCGTTCGTCGTGGCGGTGTTGATCTTCGTTGAGGTGTTCCGCACCTCGTGTCTTGGGGAAGGAGGGATCATCGTCAACAAATACCCTTCTGTTCCGCACAACACCCTGGTGAACATCAACCATCACGTGACCGCCATGCCACCCCCGATGCCCACTCAGACGACTCATGTCGGGATCACTCTACAGAATCCCCGTATGTAATCCAGCGGATGAATTTTCACACATGTAAATAAAAAGGAAGATAGAAAAGTATGTCATTCAAAGCATGAATACCGAGTAAAAATGCACCATAGTGGATATTACCCTGTACTATATATAACGTGTGTGTATATGCGTATTGATGGACTTCACCAAGTGTACGTCTAGGACTAACATGCTGTGAATATTGTCATTTTGAATCGGAAGTTGTCCCATTGATGTCATTGGTGATAGTGTTACGCACTGTGTAATAGGAAACTGTATTAAATACATTAACCACGGGAACAAATATAGCCCATACTTCCCATGTATCTTATATGAGGTTACCCATTACGCTGTTATAAATGTTTGAAGCTCTCTGGTGACTAAGAATGTGTTGTTTTTTTGGTTTCATTACTGTAAATAATTCGGTTGAATTCTGTCACTATTTTCGTGAGATCTTGTTTTTGTAATAGTTGTATTTTCAACAACGACATGTTCGGGATAATGTCTTGGGCAGCATGGCATTCTAAACAAATGTAAAATCTATAGCATACCACCTTGTATGTAGAGTTGACCTGCCATAAGCAGCGATGTTTGAGTGGCAATACACTGGCGGAAGTTGCAACGTCACATGTCGGTTCAGACGTCCTCCTTATAAATAAAACAAATGTTATCACGGATTGTCTGAATTATGTCTTAGTATTTTTAAACGCCCTTTAACCTACATTGTAGCTTCGGAGTGTCAGTATAAATCGAATACCTATTCCTGTATCCTTATAGTTGGCTAGTCTATGGTCAGGGTTTATCCTTTAGATAGGTCGGGTTTCTGGACGGGGCTTATCCTTTCAATGGGCCAGGTCTCTGTTCAGGGCTTAACCTTTAAGGAGGTAGAAACACTGGACGGGGCTTATCCTTTCAATTGGTCAGGTCTCTGTTCAGGGCTTAACCTTTAGGGAGGTAAAAACACTGGACGGGGCTTATCCTTTCAATTGGTCAGGGCTTACCCTTTAAGGAGGTAAAAACACTGGACGGGGCTTATCCTTTCAATTGGTCAGGTCTCTGTTCAGGGCTTACCCTTTAAGGAGGTAAAATCACTAGACGGGGCTTATCCTTTCAATTGGTCAGGTCTCTGTTCAGGCCTTAACCTTTAAGGAGGTAAAAACACTGGACGGGGCTTATCCTTTCAATTGGTCAGGGCTTACCCTTTAAGGAGGTAAAAACACTTGACGGGGCTTATCCTTTCAATTGGTCAGGTCTCTGTTCAGAGCTTACCCTTTCAGGAGGTATAATCACTGGACGGGGCTTATCCTTTCAATTGGTCAGGGCTTACCCTTTAAGGAGGTAAAAACACTTGACGGGGCTTATCCTTTCAATTGGTCAGGTCTCTGTTAAGGCCTTAACCTTTAAGGAGGTAAAAACACTGGACGGGGCTTATCCTTTCAATGGGTCAGGTCTCTGTTCAGGGCTAACCCTTGAAGGAGGTAAAAACACCGGACGGGCCTTATCCTTTCAATGGGCCAGGTCTCTGTTCAGGGCTTACCCTTTAAGGAGGTAAAAACACTGGACGGGACTTATCCTTTCAATGGATCAGTTCTCTGTTCAGCGTTTATCCTTTAAGGAGGTAAAAACACTGGACGGGGCTTATCCTTTCAGTAGACCGGGCTTCAAGCATGTAGTATATGTGAGAGTTATGCCCCTTTAAGCACTTCATTATGAACATTATCTAGTCGAACATTTTAGGACGTGCTGTCGTGTGTCCTTAAAGATTTTACATATTTCAATGAGAAACTCCCAAATTAATTCAAACCTGGTTGGAAATATCATAAGATGTCAGTTTTAATAGTATAAATTACAATCCTGACACCCCCAAGACTAATGACGTCCGGGACCTAAAGGTGTCCGATTGCCTTTGATTTCAATCATATAATCAAAAAGACTACTTGTGAGAAAAGGTCCTAAGAGGCGTTTTCAAAATTGTGAATTCCATCGACCCAAAGATCCTCCGTCTCCACTTTGAAAGTCGTAACGAGGGTTGAGAATTCCATCGTGGGCCGTTTTTATACGACCGTCAAAGTTGACGGTAGTATTATGGTATGGCGTTGTCCGTCCGTTCGTCCGTCCGTCCGTCCGGCGTAAACTTTGTTTGTCCGGCAATCTCCTCCTACATTTTTCGACTGATCTATCTATTTGAAACTTGGTATACATTATAATCATGATATGAAGTTGTGTCTCCTTTAAAAGAAGTTTGATTCGACAATTTTCCCAAAAGTTATTGCCCTTTGTTCATTTCAGTATTTGAATTTTGTCCGGCAATCTCCTCCTACATTTTTCAACGGATCTCTTTGAAACTTGGTATACTTCATAATAATGATATGAAGTTGTGTCTCCCTTAAAAGAATTTTGATTCGACGATTTTTGCAAAATTTATGAACTTTTGTTCATTTCAGTATTTTATTTTTTTGTCTGAAGATTTTCTCCTACATTTTTATAGCATATCAGCTAACCACTCTTAGAATGATGCAAATCTTATTTCAATGTAAGAAAGTATATAACGCTATATGGCATTCGACGGGCGTATTTTGTTCCGCCCCGCGGTACTCTTGTTGTTTAAACATTTGCAGGTCCGCCAGGATTTATACCCGAAAGTGTTACATTTATAAACGGACAAACCGGTTGTTCCGCAATTCTCAAAATTTGTCGGGATTTTATCTTTATAATGAATGTATGTGCTTGCCAAAAAGTTCATTGTTAATCATAACGAGAACAATTGGATTTGTTCGACTTAATCTAATCGCCCAGACCTGAATGTTGTACAAAATAGCGTATAGTCTCCAGAATAATTAAGTCGTAAAACCGTGTTTATACCCCACCATAAAGTTAGGGACTAGAGTGGTGGGAATACCAGATTATCCCACCCTTAACAGGTACATCTTCCGTTTTAGCCGAGAGAGATCAGCTTTTCACTCCCTATGGGTAGATAGCCTCGTGCAAAATAGCACGCACTAAATTGTGACGCTATATATAACGTGAATGGCGATTGTGACGTCGTAAAAAGGCGAATGGCGAATATACTAGTATGACTACTGTCAGTTGAGTTGTGTCTGAAATAATAGAATGGGAGAAAAATAAGCATCCTCTACCTTGGTGATGAAACTAGAGAAATCTCCCACTCTCGTATTGGAGATTTCTCTGTCGCACCCTGAATGTAGGGGGTGATTCTATTAATCAGGAGGGTGAGTGTCCGTCTGCTGACTGAAAGTGATCCGACGCACTGTTATTTACTTTCCCGATCTATTTTAGCTCACCTGGCTCAAAAGTCCAAGTGAGCCTACTACGTTGTGCGGGCATCCCCGATACTACAGGGGTTACCTCACTTTCGCTCTCTGCATCCCTGGAATATGTCATAGCAAAATTGAAGGCTTCGTTTGCGCCACATTGTGGATGAGACGAGCAGACTTCACAAGAATCTCACGGTCTCGTAACGGTACAATAGACTGGCTTTGAAGTCGACTGTCACTCCTTTGTAATTTCAATAATTTGCCTAGCGATTGGTCATGTTTCTTTATCCGAGACCAATCAAATGACTAACCGTTTGCCTTCAATTTTGCTATAATATATTCCAGGGGCGCAGAGAACGCAAGTGAGTGTAACCCCTGGATTATCGAAGATGTTGTGCGTAACCAAGAAATAGGGTGATGCTATTAAGTTAGTAATATTCTAGCGTGAATTGAATGACATTGACCCGCTTTCAATGTCACAAGGTGTCAAAATATGTGAAGACGACTTCTTGTGAATAATAGGGATTTGGGGTGATGCTTAGTACGAAATCCCTATGTTAACACTGTACAAGCATGCTGAATCCTCCGAAAGGCGAATATCTGGAATCGGCTGGGTTTAGTATGTACAATTATAAGTGTGAAGAAAGGCATTTCAGACCCTAAATAGACGTAAAACAAAATTAAACCAAACCTTACCAAACACTGGCTGTTTTTACCGAAATGTCATCATGATTGGTTGATGAATCATCACGAGACCATTTTTAACAAATGAAGTAATGGCCGTAAGGTCTGTGTAACCAACCCTATAATTGTAGTTTTTTTCTAGCGCGATAAACGGCGATATCGTGACATTTGTTGTAAGACACTTCTATATTAAGCTGTGTTGAGCTCCCAATGTATACGTCCACCCGGTTGGGTGAACATGCCAGGTGAACACCATTGTGAGCGCTATACACTGTGGTCACGAGTATGTATACATATGTTTAAATAATAGTGTAGACTAGGAGCCTTCCCATTGGCAGACTTATTCTGTTACATGTACTTTAAAAAACCACGACAGTAATGCTGTTTGTCATGGTGCTATTTAAATGATTTTGAATCGACCGGCTTACTCGGTATATGGTAGGGAAACCAGGTTATACCTGTGCGTCATCACGGTGTATAGAAAAGCTTGGTAGTGGAAACTTCCTGTCAGTATCGATCTTCCCCTCCAAAGCAGGTATATCTCCTGGTATCGACAGGTAGTCAGGCTAGTCAGCATCTCATTATAGTACCAAGGTAAAGACCGGGAACCACAGGCCTTATTGTTTCGGAGGATTGAGGAATAACACATTTTCGAAATGGAGGTTTCCCGTCAGCTTCTCGTTATTGGGTTAATTGCCACAGTGGGTTTGTTGATGAAAATAATCGTGTTTACCAGTCCCGGTTGGGCTGGCGTTCATGTTCCTGTGAAGAAAGAGAATCCCATGTTCATGGATGACATGGTCATGCCGCCCTGTGATGACGGAAGTAATTCCGAAATTCCAGAGGGTGCTCCGACAGACCAGAAGCGTCCACCTCTTCCCCCCTGCGACAAGGTGATGCCCGAGAAGAAGGGAGGTATGATGCCGATGCCTTTTGAGCATAGGAAGAAAGACAAACACCACTGTGGTCCCGGCATCCACATGTCCCTTGGTCTGTGGTACACGGTCACATGTACTCAGGTCAGTCATACAAAAAAGCCAGCCGCCCCAACACCTACCCCAGAATGGATCATAGATCGCAAGAAACGCAGCCACCATGATAGCTCAGAAGAGAGGGACGATGACGATGACGATGACGATGACGACAAAATGAAGAAGGAATGTCACGTCACGTCCTACAAACATGCAGATGAAGTTGCCAACAATCTTCCTGCTGAAACTAGGTCTTTGGGCAATTTAGTCCGCAACATTGCGAGTAAGTAGATTTTTTCTTTGGTTAAATCTCCGATATATCTTTACTGGAGATGCATTCTAATGTTAACATGAACAGGGAATGGATGGAATATAACCACAATGCCAAAAATAACTGTTGTTTTCTCAATTAGAGATATTTCGTTTAACACCAGAATATGATATTCTGTTTCTGACAGTGTACACCGACAAGATGCTGTGCGAGTTCCGAGTAGAGGCTTCAATCGGACTCGGCATGTCCTTCCTGGGGATCATCGCCCTTTTGGTGTACGCCAGAGGTGGAGCTAGGAGCCGCTGGAGCGCCATCCTGTCCTTCATGTCCCTCCTCACCTCGGGTAAATAGTTTTCCTGAATTCTTTCATCAATACCTTTTTACTAGTATGTCACGATACCGTTTTTCAAACAATTTGCAGGTTTCAATTAACTACCTTTTTATACAAAAGGCATCCGAATCACATATCAAGATATGCATTTCTCACAATACTAGCTCTTATGTCCATGATTCATAAATGAGTAAAATGGATGGGAAGAGCGACAACGATTTTCTTCAGGATTTTTTATTTGTTATGTTGACAGTGAATTAACGAATTTATGTTTAATAACACGTCTATCAAATTAAATATAGATGAACATCGGACGGAAATGAAGGTGAATTGACACTCGTACTAGATACATAGATGTTGGACATAAATGATGGTGAATTGACATTCGTACCAAATACATGAACATGAAGGTGAATTGACAACCATACTAGATACATATAGATATTGGACATGAATGAAGGTGAATTGACACTCGTACAAGATACATGTAAACGTTGAACATAAATGAAGGTGAATTGACACCCGTATAAGATACATATAGATATTGAACATATATGATGGTGAATTGACACTCGTGCTAGTTACATATAGATATTGGACATAAATGAAGGTGAATTGACACGCGTACTACTTACATATAGATATTGGACATAAATGATGGTGAATTGACGCTCGTACTAGTTACATATAGATATTGGACATAAATGAAGGTGAATTGACACGCGTACTACTTACATATAGATATTGGACATAAATGCAGGTGAATTGACACTCGTACTAGTTACATATAGACGTTGAACAGAAATAAAGGTGAATTAAAACTCGTACTAGATACATATAGATATTTGACATAAATGATGGTGAATTGACACTCGTACTACTTACATATAGATATTGGACATAAATGCAGGTGAATTGACACTCGTACTAGTTACATATCGACGTCGGAAATAAATGATGGTGAATTGACACTCGTACTAGTTACATATAGACGTTGAAAAAAAAAAAAGGTAAATTAAACCTCGTACTAGATACATATAGATATTTGACATAAATGATGGTGAATTGACACTGGTACTAGATACATGTAAACGTTGAACATAAATGAAGGTGAATTGACACCCGTATAAGATACATATAGATATTGGACATAAATAAAGGTGAATTGACACTCGTACTAGACTAGATACATGTAAACGTTGGACATAAATGAAGGTGAATTGACACTCTTACTAGATACATGTAAACGTTGGACATAAATGAAGGTGAATTGACACGCGTACTACTTACATATAGATATTGGACATAAATGCAGGTGAATTGACACTCGTACTAGTTACATATCGACGTCGGACATAAATGATGGTGAATTGACATTCGTACTAGATACATATAAACGTTGGACATAAATGATGGATATTTGACACTCGTACTAGATACATATACATATTGGACATAAATGAAGGTGCATTGACACTCGTACTAGTTACATATCGACGTCGGAAATAAATGATGGTGAATTGACACTCGTACTACTTACATATAGATATTGGACATAAATGCAGGTGAATTGACACTCGTACTAGTTACATATAGACGTCGTTCATAAATGAAGGTGAATTGACACTCTTACTAGATACATGTAAACGTTGGACATCAATGAAGGTGAATTGACACTCGTACCAGTTACATATAGATATTGGACATAAATGAAGGGGAATTGACACTCGTGCTAGATACATGTAAATGTTGAACATAAATGAAGGTGAATTGACACCCGTATAAGATACATATAGATATTGGACATAAATAAAGGTGAATTGACACTCGTACTAGAGACATGTAAACGTTGGACATAGATGAACATTAATTGACACTCGTACTAGATACATGAAAACGTTGGACATAAATGAAGGTGAATTGACACTCGTACTAGTTACATATCGACGTCGGAAATAAATGATGGTGAATTGACACTCGAACTAGATACATATAGATATTGGACATAAATGAAGGGGAATTGACACTCGTGCTAGATACATGTAAATGTTGAACATAAATGAAGGTGAATTGACACTCGTACGAGTTACATATAGATGTTGGACATAAATGAAGGTGAATTGACACGCGTACTACTTACATATAGATATTGGACATAAATGCAGGTGAATTGACACTCGTACTAGTTACATATAAACGTTGGACATAAATGATGGTGAATTGACGCTCGTACTAGATACATATAGATATTTGACATAAATGATGGTGAATTGACACTGGTACTAGATACATGTAAACGTTGAACATAAATGAAGGTGAATTGACACTCGTACAAGATACATGTAAACGTTGAACATAAATTAAGGTGAATTGACACTCGTACTAGATCAATATAGCTATTGGACATAAATGAAGGGGAATTGACACTCGTACTAGATACATATAGATATTTGACATAAATGATGGTGAATTGACACTGGTACTAGATACATGTAAACGTTGAAAATAAATGAAGGTGAATTGACACTCGTACTACTTACATATAGATATTGGACATAAATGAAGGGGAATTGACACTCGTGCTAGATACATGTAAATGTTGAACATAAATGAAGGTGAATTGACACCCGTATAAGATACATATAGATATTGAACATATATGATGGTGAATTGACACTCGTGCTAGTTACATATAGATATTGGACATAAATGAAGGTGCATTGACACTGGTACTAGTTTCATATAGATGTTGGACATAAATGTTGTGAATTGACACTCGTACTAGTTACATATAGACGTTGAACAGAAATAAAGGTGAATTAAAACTCGTACTAGATACATATAGATATTGGACATAAATGAAGGTGCATTGACACTGGTACTAGTTTCATATAGATGTTGGACATAAATGTTGTGAATTGACACTCGTACTAGATACATATAAACGTTGAACAGAAATGAAGGTGAATTGACATCCGTATAAGATACATATAGATATTGAACATAAATGATGGTGAATTGACACTCGTACTAGTTACATATAGATATTGGACATAAATGAAGGTGAAGTGACACTCGTACTAGATACTAAATAGACGTTGGACGCAAATAAAGGTGAATTGACATTCGTTCTAGATACATATAAACGTTGGACTTAAAAGAAGGTAAATTGACACTAGTATATGCAGGTGGTAGTTGTCATATCTGGAAAGTTTCGTTGAAATCGGTCCATTACTTTAGAAGGATCTGTCCGGACAAAAATGTAGTACGGACAGACAAGCTGATTCCAGTATACCCCCTAACTTCGTTGCAGGTGTTATAATGAAGGTGAATTGACACCCGTATTAGATATATATAAACGTTGGATGCAAATGAAGGTGAATTGACACCCATACTAGATACATATAGGCGTTGGACATACATGAAGATGAATTGACACTCGTACTAGATATATATAGACGCTGGACGCAAATGAAGGTGAATTGACACTCGTACTAGATATATATAGACGTTGGACGCAAATGAAGGTGATTTGACACTCGTACTAAATACAAAAAGATATGAGACTCCTAGTTATGTACATACATAAAGACATTGTCCTTTTCCTATTTGACCACTGATTGTCGTTACAGGTGTTATCTACCTCGTTGCTGTGGGCAAGGTTGCGTCTATCCTCATCATGGCACACAAGTACCTGGAATACGAGATGAGCGATCTCAACGTCCACTTCAGCGTCCCATGGTGCCTCATCGTTGCCGTGGTTGGCGCGTTGTTGACCTTGGTCGCCACTTTCGGAATACTTCTGGTTTTGTCCAGGGGACACAACAGCCGTGACATCGCTAAGCCATACGCAGTGAACGTGAACGAGAATGGAAAATATGAGCGTTTCGTCAATGACGACGCCGGACCACTTCCCCTGAAAGTGAAATTTTGAGAAGGAATTTCACGAAAGCCGTGATATTTTGTTCTTTTATGACTTCTTATTGTTATCAGAAAAAAAACATTATTCTAACATGTAACGACAACGTGGAAATTTGTAGGTGAACCCGTTGATGAGGATTCAAGATGTTGGCGGGAAGGAAATCTGTTTTTATAGAACTTTGATAATTGATGCAGTGATAATCCAGAGCAGGGTCTAACCGTCCACAAATAAAGATGTACTTTCAGTGATCTAATCGACTTGCTTCTGAAAATATTTCTCAAAACTTCCGAGAAAACGGTGTTTTTTTTGTGTACAGTCTTGTCATTGTCGTTTTATTTTGCTATTTTGTAAAACTGCTTATACTTATAAGCTGCTGAATGCTTAAACACATTTCAATATTTATCACGCTTTTTCTCGGTAGATAATATCAATCTCTTTGTTTTTGTTCCAAAAGTAAAATGTTTTATCATTAAAAGTTACAAGTTGCGTCCCTTACTTTCGAACCAGTCATTACCAAGGTTGTAATGATTATCAAATTTCCTGCAGGCAATTTTTTTTACAGTTAGACGGATTGATGTTAGAATTCATGACATTTTGTTATATTTTGTATATCTGGAATAAAAACTTGTTAATTTTTCATCATGGTGTTGATATTTCATGACCTATTGATAACTTAATATATATTAGTTCTCGCCACATTCTTATATCCTAGAAATGGTATATATTTTCGAAAACGGTTCACAAGTCTTTGATTTCAATTTGGATTTTAGGTAGATAAAAGAAGTTTGATTGGCTAAAAAGTAATATATTGTAAGAATTTGTCAAAATTATGTTTTCTGTGTTTTTTTACCTCAATTCTAACGTCATTAGATGTCATTCAATAGTTGACATTTATTTATCATGAAAAACAGGTAAAATACAGGTAAATACTGCCAATCCTCAATCGTACCGCACCAATATGGTCGGAATTGTCTTCAGTAGTTCTTGTGGAGACGACAGAACTTTTAACAATGGAGACGACAGAACTTGTAACAATGGAGACGACATAACTTTTAACAATGGAGACGACAGAACTTGTAACAATGGAGACGACAGAACTTTTAACAATGGAGACGACAGAACTTGTAACAATGGAGAC